CTCAGCCGTCTGAGGAAGTAGAGTCTCTGATGAGCTTTCTTGATCAGGCTGGTGGTGTTGTTGCTCCAGCTGAGGTTGTCATTCAGGTGCACACTGGAGACCACTTCCACCACAGATCCTCTTATGTTCAGGGGGGTGTAGGTGTGTTTGTTCCTTCTGAAGTCCATGATCATCTCCTTTGTCTTCTTCATAATAAAGGTTTTTCTCTTTGCACCAGCTCTCCAGGTGTACATTTGACTGAACATTGTACATTTGTACATTTTTATTTGAACCTCCAGAGCCTTTTGTTTGAAGTTTTTCTGGGAGTTTGTGCAAACTAATCCAGACTAATCCAAACTACTAATTTTGTGTTTTCAGCTAGCAGTGACTAAGAGCGCTGCAACAAGAATACTGCAGGTAAAAAAAAAAAACGACTATGGGATGCACCAAGAGTTGGATAAGTAAACTAATTCAGATTTAGTTGTTTTATGTCCTAGATTGCAGTGACAAGAACAAGTTTGCTTGTTACTTCCAGTACTTTGCAGAACACAACACTTACTGAGTAATCTCCTACAAGGAAGGCTTTTCTGTTGTCTTTCTATTTTTATGCATGTTACATTTTTAGAAACAAATGCAAGTATACTGTTTGTCTCTTTTTTTAAAAGCCACAGTAGCAAAGTGCAAGGGCAACAGGAGAAAGAAACAGGATGAGACATGTTGGTGGACATGTGGCAGCGTCTCTGGGAACGATGAAAGGGTGGGCCTCTGGCTGAGCTATGATGATAGAGCGTCACACACGCCGCTCTTTTAGCACAACTAGGAAACTGTTTACTTTCAGGAGCAACGCTGACGGCAGCTCCTCATAAATGTGATGCTTGTCACTTGTTTTTACAGTCGTGCATCATGTAAAACACGTATTCTCTAGATTTAGGCTATGTGAGATTATGTTCCAGTTTACCGGTATCGTCTTTTTCTAGTTAGAACGACAAACTTGTTATAATACGCAAGCTTACAGTTTTTAGTTATTGTATCTAAGACTAAACAAGAGGAAAATATTGAAATAAAAAGAACATTTATAGATTCAGCAGGTATTATAAAATTGCAATGCAGCACAAAATTATTGACTACCGGTACTTCAAATGTTACAACACAATAAAGTTTTTAATAGTTGAAGGTGGAGTAATGTCTTTTTCCTGTGTGTCCATTTGTCTGTGCAGTTTGCAGAATATCTTTATGAATCACTGAACTGATTTTAATGAAGCAGTCGGCGTCAACCGGATTCAATATGGCCGACACGGCAAAAATCTGAGCAAACACAAAAATGTCCAAAACAGTCAATTTTACAGATACTGGGCTACAGTTTATTGTGGTAGTAGCTGAGACTGGTTCCCAGTGTTTAAAGCATGGTCATTAACAACTGTGGCCGTTTTAAGCAAAATATCTCATAAACCACCAGAAGGGTTTCAATTAAACTCTCAGAAAGTATTCAATGGATGTTCATCTAGAAAAGAAAAACATTTTGGAGTCAACCCAGTTTACAATGGCCACCACAGCTAACTGACTTTACCCTAAACAAAACAGCCATAATGATGTCATTCTTCAACACGAGCTAGTCTAAAACTCTGGCATTTAATTCATAAATACATTTACTTAATTAAGAAATTGTAAGTGGAGGAAGACACTTCTTAATTACTTATTAATTACTGCTGTTAGACTCATAAATCCCTAACCAGGATAATCACTGTACTGCCACTTTAATTGGTGATATGTGACTTACGTGCTGCTGATTATCCATGCTACTGATCTCTTGCCTTTATGCTGCTGTATTCATACCCATCTGCTCACTACAGACTCATGTTCGGGCTGCTGTTTACACCGTATTATTTTACACTAAGCATATCTTAGATCTTTTAGAGTATCATTTTGCATTGTTTAGTGTGTAACTTCCTTGTATACTGTTGTTTATTTGAATACTTTATATTCTGCTATTTTTGGGTGTCACTGGGACCCTGCGTATAATAATATAATTGTGATGCAAATGACAATAGGCCTGTCATGATAACAAATTTTGCTGGGTGATTATCTCAGAAATTATTGCGATAAACGATAATATTGTTTGAAATTTGACATTAATTAGTAGTTATTGTCAAATTTAAGAAGAAATGTTGGGTAGTTTTCATGTAGTACATTTTTTTACCACTGGATGGCAGTGTTAGACTGTTTGAACCGAAGGATGGATAGTGAGTGAGCGAGCAGCGTGCATCTTTAAGAAAAATAGGAGAGAGGCCCCTTGACGTGACATGGGCTGTCTCTCCTTCCTGTTTTTGGTTCTCAAAATGGCAAACGCTCGGTGTGGTTTGAGCTTTTTATCATAGCATTTGTCACACAAAGGTTTTAATAAAAAAATCAGTAAACAAGTTCTCAGCTACTTTTTGCAGAGAAAAACAACTTTTTACACGAAGGCACGGGTTTCAACTGTGGATTTTGGAGCTTCGACTAGACAGAGGTTTTTACGAGGTCGGCCTGTTAGCTTGTAGCTTAGCTGCTTTTAACGCTCAAAAAATGTGATTTTGGATCGTTAAAACCGATTTTAAAGAGAAAAGCGAAAGGGAGGGTTCAGTGAAGAACACTTCTCATCCAGTGTCTTCAGTAGAAAGAGAGAGACACGAAGAAACGACACAACTGATAAATGAAAATGAGGTGGATAATTTTTATTTATCAAGCGATGAATTGATTTATTGTTTATCATGACAATAAAGAAAATTGAACTTTGATGACCTTGTTAAGCATCAACAGCAGTTAAAAAAAAAGTTGTTTAAAGTGTTTATTTTTAACTTCCAGTTAAGAACTGACTTTAAAAAGTGAGTTAGAATGAATTCATGTTTCTGTTCTGTGAAACAGAACATGTTGGAATCCTCCTACACCAGTCTGATGGGTGGGACGATGAAGAGGAGGAGGAGGAAGACTGGGAGGCGCCTGCCCTCGTTGCCCCCCTGTCTCCTCCACACACACCTCTTTGTTTACACCTTCAAGTCCAGACAGGAGAGGAGGAGGAGGACAACTTTGGCGACTCTCCTCGGAACAAGAACAATGGCTGTTCTTCTGCTCAGCTTGGTTCTCCTCCTAGGACCGTCTCGAGCCTTCGACACCCTGGCTCCAGCCCAGTTCGGACCCCCTTCTCTCGGGTTCAGCTCCTCGGTCCGCTCGGTGTGTAAACCCATCCCGAGCACCTTGTCCCTGTGCCAGGGGATCGGCTACAGGAGCATGTGGCTCCCCAACCTGCTGGGCCACGACTCCCTGAGGGAGGCGCAGCAGCAGTCGGCGCCCTGGCTGCCGCTCGTCTCCAAGCGGTGCCACCGGGACACCAAGAAGTTCCTGTGCTCCATGTTCGCCCCCGTGTGCCTGCCGGAGCTCAGCGGGCCCGTCAGCCCCTGTAGGAGCCTGTGCGAGGCCGTGCGCGACGGCTGCGTGCCCGTCATGAGCGCATTCGGCTTCCCCTGGCCCGAGATGCTCAACTGCAGCCGGTTCCCGAGCGGAACCGAGCTGTGCATCCCGGAGGGGCGGACGGAGGAGGAGGTCCGGCATGAGGAGGAGCTCAAAGGTTTGAGGAGTTCTACTTATTTAACGCCCTGATTTAGCCACGTGACATCTTTCACGTTACATTTATAGTTAATTGTCGCTGCGCGCCACCAGAGGAGCTGCATTCCAGAGGCGTTCTTAGGATGTGGAAACATTGGGGGGCCTAGCCCAGGCAGCGACTTGGGGGGGGGGGGGGGGGGGCAAAAAAAATTTTTTTTATGGTAATTTAATTATTAATTTTTGTTATAAAATGTGATTCCATATGTACGACGGAGATTTAGGGCCACACTAAAAAAATAATAAAAATTACATTGCCACGCTAAGAATTTTTTTAAGATATAAAATTATGAGAATAAAGTCGAGTAAAGGCTTAATATTAGAAGAATAAAGTCGTTTTTACGAATGCCTTTTTTTCTCTCCCACGAGTCAGATCCACGACGCGACCTGTCAGTCAATCCAGAAGGCGTGTCAGCAAATGACCAATCTGAAGCTAAGTGACTCGTAATATTATCCGAACTCCGACACGATAAAGCAGGGCTCATCGCATTTTAACTGTAGTAAAATGAAGAATGTTTGTTAAACTTTTATTGTTATTGACGCTCTTACTCAAAACTTGTTCCAATACTGTCACCTACTGTTGTGTTTTTGTATGCTGCTTCTGGGATGCATATGCGTGACGTCATTACATCATGACTTTCATTTTAGTTTCCGTTTGAAAACGGCGCTCAGTGAGAGAAACTGTGCATGCAGCGCTGTTACAGGTCTTCAATAAATATGCCAGAAAGAGGCTGAAGAGACCCAGCGACTCACTTTTAGGAGCATTTAGCTTCAGATTGGTCATTTGCTGACACGCCTACTGGATTACTACTGGACAGGTCGCATTGTGGATCTGACTCGTGGAAAAAATAAATAAATAAAAGAGAGCTGTAAAAAAAAAAGTTTTGTACGACTTTATTCTCGTATTTTTAAGGTTTTTAGTTATCTTTTTAGTGTGGCCCTAATGCTCCGTCGTAGGTTATAAAAAGTGATTCCATATGTGTCACCGACACCAATTTAATTGTAGTTTACTATGCATTTAGTGTCAGGGCAATTCATTCTTTAGTGTTATTTTTTATACTACTGTTTAAATGTAATGTTTTTCACTTTTCTTGTGTTTTGTTGACGTAACTGCTGAATTTTCCATTTTTGATCCAATCTTATGTATTCTCACTGTGAGCAGTTAGAATGAGGTTATTTCCGTGTTCCTCCCCACAGAGAGTGTTATCTGTGATGTCTGTAGCCTGACTGATGAAGGAGAGACTGACATCCAGGACAACTTCTGCCACAGTCCATATGGTGGGAACAAATGGCACAATTTCTCAGAATATGATTTTACTTTGTCTTTCCTTCAGTAAACTTCAACCTACCATTTTTCAAAGTACAAATATTTGGCTAAAATGTGACACAAAACACATTATGGGAGACATAAAAGTTGTTTAACAATGTATCTATAGAATAATATTGTCTCTTTCTCTATCACAGCCTTAAAGATGCGTCTGGGCAGCATGTCAACAGTGGGGGGCGACCGTCAGCTGGTCCCTCTGGCCCGCAGTCGCATCCTGAGGTGGGCAGGGGGAGGTGCAGAAAACGCAGAGCATTATGGAGGTGCAGTGACCCACAGGGCGTTGTGGCTGCAAGAAGGAGACAGCTGTACGTGTCCTGGTTTAGATTCTTTAGATGTGAACAAAAGCACGGAGCTTGAAGAGGAGAAAGTAGATAAAAGACCAGTGAAGGAAGGAGGGAAGGTGAGGAATCGGGTCTACAGCGCATGGTTCTTGGCCCTGGCTCAGGCTGAAGAAGGAAGACTTGTGTTGACTCGACTTGTCAGGTGGACCAGAGGGGACAAAGAGCTGAAGAAGTTCCTCAGAGTTCTTCTTAAAAAAGCCTGTCCAGACATTTAAGCAGCGTGTCATGAGTCATGAAACCACATACTGCTAGTAACAAAATCCAACACTGCGAACAAAACCGTGAAGAACACAAGAATAAACATCAGATAATCACAACAAAAATGGTTAAATTGTGTCATCTGGACCAGGTTCTTTAAGTTAGAGACGTTTCATCCTCCATCCAGAGGACTTCCTCAGTCTACGGCCTGCCAACCAGATCTGTCCCATAGGTAGCCTTCACGGCTGTGTTTCAAGACAACCTCCTGTTGGAATCTCACAAGTAACACATGCAAACAGAGCACACACATATAAAACAATCATATCACCATGTACAACAATCAAATGTTTTAGGCCAGATGGCCGACTTACTACTCACAGAAACAGCCTGAGGACACAGAGAATGTGAGTAGCAAGTAAAACATTTGATATACATGATGATTGATTGTTGTGGATGGGTGTGCTCTGTTTGCACGCGTTAAAAGTACTGCTGAGATTCCACCAGGAGGTTGGCTTGAAACCCATCAGTGAAGGCTACCTATGGGACAGATCTGGTTGGCAGGACATAGACTGAGGAAGTCCTCTGGATGGGGGACAAAACGTTTCTCACTTAAAGAAACTGGTCCAGATGACACGATTTAACCTTTTTTGTTATCTACCTGGATGGTTGAGCTTACAAACCTTTAATAAGATAATACAGTGTATTTTTATTAGGGAATATTAGTGAATTACCACAAATTGTTCCAAAATCCATCTAACGGATAACAAATATATTTTTATTTTCCATTTACAATGGGAATGGGAGTTGAGTTAATACAGAAACCTGTCGTTTCTGTGTCTAGTTGTAACATCATTATGGTAATAATGTTACAGTGGCAGTGATGGTGGCACAATGTTCTGTCTGTTTCACTGCAGTGTATTTACTGCAATATTTGTCTATTTTTCTGAACGTAAGAAACAAAAAGTTTATCACATTATTACGTGAATGAACCAGGCGGGTTGTTTGGATAATGTTTGCAAATTGTTTGCTGTAAAGTTGCTGTTATTTTTCTATTTTATTTTTTACTTTAATATGAGAATTTTCTTTAATTGTACTCTAAATTTACCCATTTTTACAGTTTGAATAAAACTACTGACTGAACAGAAAACGTTACACAAACAAAAAAGTGTCAAAATTTTTACCTTTTTTTAAAAAAAAATTGCGTTTCATTTACTTATCCCTAATAATATAATGTATTTTGAAATATGTAACCTGCTGCTGAGTGTGAAAACAACTCGGTCAATTTTACAGATATTGAAATAAAGTTTGCTGCTTATTGTATCATGTTTCGGACTATAAGGCGCCCTGGATTATAAGGTGCATTAAGTGAAACAAAAGTCAGATAAGTCCAACTTTATTCAGCTCATTCACAATACCTCTGAACATTGTTCAGTTGTACCACATGAAACTGGTTCGAGGTCAGTAAGCACAAACAATATTAATACATGAGGTGCACCGGATTATTAGACACTCTGTCGATTTTGAGAAAATTCGAGTATTTTAAGTGCGCCTTATAGTCCGAAAAACACGGTAGCTGAGACTGATCTCCATCACATACCTTGAGAGCTACGAGACTGCACAAATGTTTATTTTTTTGTTGTCATTTCTTTGGAATCAATTCTGATTGTTAGCTAAATATTTTATGTACCAGTGAACAGGTTTTGATGAATATTTCAGTAAAGTATCATTTGATGTAATTCTACAACTGATAAAACATTTGGAACCAACCCAGATGAAGACGGCTGCCTCAACTGATCTTAGAAAATACAAAAACATCAGTAACTTGTTCAGCTTTACAGATGTTGTGCTGGTAGTAGTTGAGAGTCATTCTCAACACATCCTTGAAGTGCTATTCATTCAAGGTCTTTGCTTAAAACTGTCAAGCCTGAACGTTAAAGTATCTTACTAACAATGCATGGATTTGAATGTATTTTTCATAAAGTAATCAGTGGATTTATATCTTCCACTAATTGTAACTAATCTTAGGGATTCAACCCAATTGAAGATGGATGCCACAGCTAATCAGCATTATTCAATGTATAAATGACAGTTAAAACTCATGCATGGCCATGTCTTACATTGTTTCTTTAAAGAATGTTGAGCCTTTAATTGTGTTTAAATGATCGTATATTATTTTTGAGTTTCCCTCTATTTGTTATTCTAGAAAATATAATTTAATTAGTCTTTTTCTCGTTTTGTCTCGACCAAGTAAAGACAGAAATTGGACTCCACAGAGCACCTGTTGATATATCAGTTTCATTCTGCCTCGGTCTCACTGTGTCTTTAACACTTTGTATAATGTTGCTCCAGCTCTGAATATTTTAGGATGGTTGATTAATGTCATTAAACATCAGAGAATTTCTTTTTTTTTTATCTTTATCTTGCTGTTTTATATTAATTCGCTGGTAATAATTACATCATGTGTGTCACGTGCACGTGGTGCATTAATTATTCAAACTCCAGCACCCTGTCCTTCTCAACACGTTCCTTAATGTTTCTGCACCTGTCTCCACTGAACTGCCTCGTCCGCTCTTAAAAACCAAACAGGTAAGTTTGTTCAGCGTTTCCTTTTAATAAATATTGTTCAGTAAGAGCAGAAACCTCATAGACTCTTTAAGTTACCTGGAAACATCTAGAAAGGCACAGCACGTGTCCTCACATTTACATTTCTGCCTACATCTCTTAAAAGTAACCAGAAACCCCTGACTTGCAAGTTTCTAGTTTGAGATTAAGAAAAGTCTATAAAGATATAAAAAGAAATGTTCTGTCACAGTTATGTACATATATTAATTTGAATTATTGGATCACTCAAAAAAAATTCACAAAAGCCACAAAAAAAAAATAAAAAAATACCAAGAGTAGAAAAATGTCTTCGCTTTAGTTGGGATTATTAAATTGTTGCATTATGGTTCTTCATAATTTAATCTTTCTTAATGTCTTCCTATATGAGAAAGATGCATCAAATTTGAGTTGGTGGTTTTCTATTTGGTATGCATAAGAAGCAGAATTTAAAAAAAAGCACGTAACAGAAAATGATCTTTGGTCTATAGTACATGCTCAGACACATTAAAACAATAGAACATATATAAAATCATACAGAAACATCACACATAAAATCCCATATCCATACATATCGTATAATACCTAAACACCCACATGCTTGTAACTATATGCAAATCAACTACTATGTTCCTTCATTTAAAAGATTACAGTGGGAATAAGAGTTTTTATAAGTATGATTGTTTTATTATGTGTACTGTACAACACTTTGGTCCCATGGGTCTTTAAAGTGCTTTATAAATAAAGCTGGTATGGTATGGGTTTTTTTTTTTTTTTTTTGTGGTGGAGGTGGTGGTGGAGGGGGCACTCTAAAAACGATTACCTGATGGTGTTGAAATGACTGGTGAAGGGGGTGTAAAGAGTCTTTGGTGATACATCTTGCTTTCCTTTGTACTGCACGACTATCAAATTCTGTGAGATGCATCTGAGGGTATACCTGTTTCATTATTCTGGTGAGTTTTTTATTATTATTTTACTGGGAGTAATATACAGTATTTAACTTGTTTATATATTGATTGGTTTACTCTGTTCTTTTAAAAATAAAGATGGTCACCCTAAGAGGGAGGCCAGCAAGCTCAAGGAGTCCTATTATTCATTCAACCTTTATTTAAACAGGTTAATCCCATTGAAGAAAAGAGTGATGACAACAGTGGACAACAATAGACAGTAATAAAGGATGCGTACAAATTAAAAAAAAAATTTAACAAGTGAAAATAAAATGGTAATTAAAGGGGAAAGTAGCAACAAAAAAAACAAAACAAAAAAAAGGCTAGGTTGTAAGGTGATGTAGAAAACTAAAAACAGAAACATGGCTGCATTCGTTTTTTTCCCAGGAACTTAACAGATGTTTGAAGCCACTAAGAGAGGTCAAGGTCGAGAGCTTTAGATCTTTTTACAAGATATTCCAGGAAACAGGAGCGGAGTAGAAGGCCCTTTTGCCTAGTTCAGTCCTCACTGAGGGAACACTGCAGGTAATAATGTCCTGAGAGCGCACGCTGTAGCTGCACTCACACAGAGACATGTAGGAGGAGATGTATGAAGGCATCAGACCAAGAAGTGATTTAAAGATGAAAATGTACCAGTGAGAGAGTCTGCGTGAAGTTAATGATGACCAGTTAACCAGTGGATACAGCTGGTATGGGCTTTAGAGGAAACTGTGGGGTATTAGTGAGACAGTTGCTGAGGCAAAGGCTAATTGATTAGTTCACAGAACTTATCAATTTTAGTACAGACTACTAAATATGTTTACTACATTGTACTGAGGTTCTAAGTTAACACAACTAAACATGTTTAACCAATGTAACATTATTTAAAGCTACTTACATATAATGTTTTGCATAACATTTCCTCCAATGTAATTAATTACCCTTTTGATCTTCAAATTGTACTGAATGCAACACTAAATTTTACAAGAGGAAAAAAATACATTTCAATGTTCCAATTTATTTAATTTTCACAAAGTATTGCTTCAAAAAACATTTTAAGTGTAACTTATCATCAAGCTTGTCACAAGTAAAAAATAAAATAAAAAATTGGTAATAAAACAGTAGCCATTAAAAAAACCCTTGCCATCCAAACATCAAGTAAAAATAGACAATAAAAATGCTTGACATTGTTATAAATTGTTTAAATAGGAATACAAACACCGCAGCATTCATCAGTTTATGTATCCTTGTGAAAAACTGGACACAATAAAATTAGACACAGTCTTCTAAATCTTCAACTTGAAAAGGAGCTGATGAAATGTGATAAAAGATTTAGCATGTTTTATGTGAATGTACAGTTCGTGGTTTTGGTAAATGCAGGCAACTGAAGCCATAAATTCCTGAAAACTTAAGATGCAAAATATTTAATGATGTTAATGTTAAGGAAGAACTTCCTGTTATTTCAGCTTAAAATTCTAGTGTTCCCCTCTGTGCAGACAAGGAACGTGGTAGATGTGGGGTCATGAAGGCACTACTGCATAGCTCTGTGAGCAGGAAAACTGTTTTGGTCAATCGAGCACACACGTTTCAATTTACTGCTTCAACTGACTACATTTACCATCAACACTGACTGGACATTTACATGAAACATGCTGAATTGTCCTCAAACTGTATTATATCAACTGGGTTTTACTATCCAGTCCTGAGAATACACTTCTAAATTTCATCTCTGTAGAGTGTCTGGACACCCATGTCTCTCATACCAACCGAACATTATAAACTTTGTTAAAAAGTAACAGTTGTGGCAGAGCTGTTTGCATTAGTTTATGCAGGTAGAGCTGATAAAGTGGCCACTGAGTATAATATACTGAACCCCCCCGACTGTTCACTGACACAACACACAAGACAACATTTCTTTACATTACAAGCTGGTTGTTCAATGTTTGTAACTTTGGTTTTAGTTCACTGTGGCCCAGTTCAAGAAATACCTGTTGGATGAACTGGAACGTGGACTTCACAGACCTAGGGTAGTTGAAACGCATAGCGTATGCAAGTCCAAAGAGAAGACACACAGGTCTGTTGTCCATCACCACTTCTCCTCCAGTGATGATTTTCAGAGGCTGGACTGAGATGCAGGGAGGATGAGGGCACAGCACCCTCAGGTTCAACGAGGAGGATCCCAGTGTCGGTGTTGCAGAATGAGTCCTTAATAAAGACAAGTGCACAACAGAGATATTTCGCATTAAGTGACCTGCAATAATTGATCAAAAATAATTTCCATAAACCAATTACAATATTTGTCATATCATCTGTCTTATCATAACATGCAGCCCTAGTTTCCTTGTGTAAATTGTGTATTAGTTTGAGCTCCACTAAAGGACACCAACATCATCAGGTGTTCATGGTGAGTGGAACGATACTTTATTCTTTCATTTGTTAAAAGCTATGCGCACAGGTTTTATTCAAATACACGAACTGTCATCAGGGTTCTCACGTCTGTCTAGGCCCAAATTCTGACATGAACTTGACACAGCATAGCATAAACATTAATTAAGATTAAAGGGATCATTTGGATTTTTTTAAGTGGAGTTGCATGCGGTTCTTACAGACGGTCAGCATGTTACTTACAGTAGATAGTGGTCAGCCTTTCCCCACTTTGGAGAAGCAGCAGCAGGATCAGTGTAGGAAGATAAGCAATGTACGTTTGTGGACATGGTCAGCAGCAATTTGTACTTTTAGACATCTTGAAATATCTATAATAGTTTGAGTAGACACATATTTATTATATTTACAGTGCCTTACATTGCTGTCTTGACAGACTTTTCAGACTTGAAATGTAAATTAAAGAGCTCTCTTCACACCAACCAAATGCCATAGACAAAATTAATAATTTTACCTCACAGAACAAAAGAGTTACTGGTCTGTTAGTTTGTGTTATTGTGTGATTTCAGTGAATCCACACCAATCAAATAATAAAAAAAACAATGGAGAGCTGAGTGACAAGACAATTTTTGGGCAAGCTGGCGCTTCTTATGGTGTTTGAATGGATCCAGTGAGGCGAGGACTACATCTGCTTCGCCCTTAACCCACCAGCGACAGCCTTAAAGGGCGAAGCCTATATGAAATAGAACGTTGGTTACGTACTGTAACCCCAGATTCTATGAGTATAGGCGTAGCCCTTTAAGCGTCGGGCCTCACTGGCTCCTAAATGGCTGAAGAAAAAGCTATTTTGGGAGCCGATTACCCGCTCTTAACGTAATTTATACGGACCGGGTGGGGCCCACACAACAGGTGGGCGTGGACTAAACTTTTCAGTGCGTTGCGTTGCATGACGAGATAAAACCCACCAGCGACAGCTCTTAAAGGGCTACGCCTATACTCAGAATCTGGGGTTACAGTAACAATTTTTACACCAAACTTAATTTCATGAACCACAAGAAAACAAGACATTTACTTTGTTACCAAATAAATAAGTATACTGTATATGACAACTATACCTGTGATTTTTTTTCTGTGCCAGGATGGTGTCCCCTGCTATTGCTCTGGCCTTCATTCCTCTTCTGCTGACAGTGTTAATCAAATACCGCTACTTCTTTGTGTTGTTCTATCGAGCCATTCTGGTCAGGATATGGAAGGACTGTACTACTGGTTTGAGCCGAGAGGAGCGCGCCTACCAGTATGTTCTCACTCATTGCACTCTTGGAGACCCTGACAGCATACTGGATGCTTTTGATATTTGGTGCAGTAATGTGGAGTTCATCAGCAACATTGGGCCTAAAAAAGGTGCTGGAAGAAATCATTTTATTGATCAGCAAGTCATAATTTCTAAATACTACACACATTTTGATGCGTTTTTGTAGGAAAAATCCTGGACCGGCTGCTGATGGAGCAGAGCCCTCTGACAGTATTAGAGCTGGGGGCTCATTGTGGATACAGCACTGTGAGAATAGCCCGGTCTTTGCCTCTGGGGGCCAGGCTCTACAGCGTGGAGATGGATCAGAGAAATGCTGCCATCACAGAGAAAATCATCCGCATGGCAGGTTTTGATGACAGCACGGTGAGACAGTAGGTAACTGTTACAAAATGACCCCCCCCACACACCTGTTTTTATATACTCGTTCGTTTCTCCAGGTGGAGCTTATTGTGAATCCATCTGATGAGGTGATCCCTCGGCTGAGATCCGACTACAGCTTGGAGAAGTTGGATTTAGTCTTTATGGACCACTGGAAGAAATGCTACCTGCCTGACCTGCAGGTACTAAATCATTAGAAAATATGTTTATACACAACTTGTTGCATCTTGATTATCATCCCTTATGTCTCTGGGTATGTCTCAGCTGCTGGAGGACAGTGGTCTGCTGGGAAAAGGCTCTATGGTTCTGGCTGACAACGTGCTGTTTCCTGGGGCTCCAAAGTTCCTCCGATACCTGCGCAAGTGTGGCCTGTACGAGTGGAAGATCCACCGAGCAACACTGGAGTACAGCAGGGGCATCAGGGATGGGATGGCAGAGCTGATTTATCAGGGAATTAAATAAAGTATATCAAAAGTACATTTTAAAAAGAGCAAAAACATTTGTTTTAATGTCCAAGCAAATTTTAAGGTAATTTGTGAATGATTGTCCTTTAAAAGTAGTATTTGACTTTAGGCATATCGCAATAAATAATAAATCAATTAATCGCATGATAAATGAAAATTATCGACCTCGTTTTCATTTATCAGCTTTATGGTTTCTTTATGTCTCTCTTTCTACTGAAGACACTGGATGACAAAAGGCTCAACTCCGGTGCTCTTCACTGACCCCTCCTTTTCTTTTTTCTCTTTAAAATCTGTTTTAATCGTCCAAAATCACGTTTTTGGATCGTTAAAAGCAGCTCAGCTGACAAGCTAAGCTACGAGCTAAGCTAACAGGCCAACCTCGGAAAAAAAACTCTGTCATGTTGAAGCTCCAACCTGTGCCTTCATGTAAAAATGTTTTTCTCTGCAAAAAGCAGC